AGCTGGTAGATGGGATTAAGAAGGCCCTAGCTTTTTAATAAATTATCCCTCGCCCGTATAGGGGGGGGGGTCGAACGAACCACCCCCTCGTTTTTTTTCGAGAATAACTCGCGTAAAAAGCGGCCGATCGCGACGAAACTTTCAGGACCCTCGAGTCAATTAATTTGACACCTACTCTGAAAATCTCATATTCCTGACCCAAATGACCTTTGACCTGTGACCTATTTCTTGAGGCCATGTTTGGCCGGAATCGCGATTCGGCGAGCCGCTAATGCGTTCCGTTCACTCCCGTTCCGTTTCGGGTGTTCTGGTCAGTTGTGCTCTCGCTTTCCCTTCTGCTTGGGGTGTCCTGATCAGCGATCCTCCGTTCCGTTGCAGTTGCTCTGATCAGTGATCACTGATGCCCTCCGTTCTGTTGCGGGTGCTCTGATCACTGATCACTGATCATTGACGCTCTCACTCAGCACTTATCACGTGACATGATACGAAGCTACCGCTCCGTTTCGGTGGCCGGCCATGAGGTCGGTGGCATCCTTTTATCATTTTTTTTTTTTTGCATCCCGTTCCGTTCCGATATGGATGCCCTGGTTACTGGTTAGTTGCACGCTTTTTATTGCGATATTGCGTATTATGCTGCGCAGTGCACATCGTTCCGTTTGGGGTGCCCTAATCAGTGACCCTTTGTCTAGTCTCATGTAGTGCACCGTTCCTTTCGAAGAGTTGCGCTGACACCGTTTCCATTTTCACTATGCGTAATGAGTACCGACTATCGCTGGCCGTTCCGGCGTTCGGGCCGGGAGATTTCCGGCGTATGTCATGCTGCATAGTGCGACTGCAATTGCATACTCAATACTGCGTCCCGTTCCGTGTGCCCAGAGCAAAGGCACCATTTCCAGTATCATCCGGCCATTGTCATATCTGTTGAAAATGGAAAGCTCAAAGCTATACTGCGTACACTGTACGAATATTACCAGATCAGATGCGAACGAAAACTACATACTTATATTGCCGCATATTATCTCAAATATACAGTAATCTTGGAAGCGGTGCTGCCATATTGTAGGCGCAAAACGTCCCAGAGGCCAGAACACATGAGTTATACGGTTTCCGGTTTCATAGCGATCAGTTAAGTCAACAAACTGCCCATCAGGGTATCATGATCGCCTAAAATTTTATGTCTGACAGTGTCACAGTGATGACCACGCCTCACGCATTACACGGTCTGAGTCAACTGCACTAAATCAGGAACTTAGCAGATGCTGACGGTAATATCTGCTGTCTGCATCTGAAACGGAAAGGAAGGCATTGATTTAAGGCTAGGAGAAGGATGGCCACTGGACAGTCATTCAATTGTGACAATGCATTTTGACTTGTGAGGAAAATGAAATCTCACTGGTTGAAGTAGGTAGCTGTATAAGAGACAAGGGTGATTCTTAACTTCATTAGTCTCAATCAAACACAAAGGTTGGGATAAAATGGGACGGATTTCGAAACACTTGGCGATCAGATGCTAAAGTTATAATTCTGCCGTATATCACCCTTACCTATTTGCATCGTCTTTTTCGGTTAGTTTTGGTGGTCAGGAATGGTATGTTCTTTTATTATCAGCCAGCGTAGCGTTACGCCTTTATTGCGAAAGTGATATACATGTAGGTTAGTGATATGTAGGTTTTCACTTGTTTTTTTTTTCATCCTATATTTTTTGGCCATCATCGTCACACCCAACCAAAATCCAATTTTAGAACACTGCTACCCCCTCACCCGCCACCCACAGAGGAGTTCCACCGCGCCGTGCGGATCTTTACCGGCAAGGCGCCCTGACCGAGTGACCCGCCACCCACAGAGGAGTTCCACCGCGCCGTGCGGATCTGCACCGGCAAGGCGCTCTCGGACCACGTGGTAGACACCGTGTTCTGCATCTTCGACGAGGACGGCGACGGACAGCTGAGCTACAAGGAGTTCATCGGCTTCATGAAGGAGCGCCGCCAGCGCGGCTTCAAGGTGGGTTCCGCCGCGGCAGGGAGGCGGGCGGGCTGGCAGGGGAAGTGGTGTACCAGGGTCCGGGAGTTGGGGTCCTGCCGAGTGTCCCGGGCCGATCGGCAGGGGCCGGCGGAGGTGAGTTGGTTGACGGAACACCTGTCGGGTGAGAAATATCACACAGGTGGGGCGGCTGAGACCGCTGCTCTCCGGCGCCGTCGGCCGGGCTGGTAGCGGCTCGCTGGCGCCCAGTCGCCGCAGTGGCCCCCCTGTCAGTCATCTCTGTCCGCGTATTGACGGCCTGTTTTGCCTCGTGGGCGGCCGACCGTCGCGGCTCGCTGCATCCGGCCGCTAACAAACGGCCGTCGGACGTACAAATAAGCACCGGCGCCGGCGCGGCGAGCTAGGCCGGCCGCCGGCGGGAGCCCCGGGGCGGCCCGCGGCCCGCCGGGCGGATACAACGGCGGCGAAACAGCAGCCGGCAACAGACCCCGGCAGACGGCCCGGTATGGCGGCACCTGGGAGATGGAGCCCGCGCACACAAACCCCATGGATGCTGGCTGGCCGTGGACAGTGGACACGGTTGTTCGGTGGATAACTGGACGCGGCTGCCCGCCGCCGGTGGTCGGACTGTCACTCCTCTGATAGTTCTGTGAGCTGGTTAATCCCCCCCCCCCCCAGCCGTATCGGCGGTGTTCGGCCGTCCCTGTAAAACACAACTCCAGTGTCGTCTCTCGAACCCGGCCTATGACCACCGACAGCCGGACGCCATCAACTGAGCTGACCGACGAACTTTTCTGATTTATTTTTTATCGGAGCCTTTATACGTCCGGGACGGCCGACAGTTGCTGTTCGGCGGCGGCGGCTGAGTCCGTCCTGAGGGACGGGCAGGCTGCCGAGCCCCGCCACCGGCCACCACTCGGGCAGTCTGCTCCTGTGGACTCACTCGCCCCACCTCAATCTGCAGTTAACGCAGGTCCTTTTTACCGGTAAATTGGGCCCCCGGTCGCGGCGTGGCCCGCCGTCCGGCCGATCAGGTCACGTGTTCGCCTCTGATGGCGCAATCTGCTGCGGCGAGCCCAGGGACTGGGTCTGGGACAGCGTCAGCTGACGTGGCCCGCATCGACCCGCAAAATGAGGTGATTTTTCAGCCGGTATGGAGGGCATTACCTGGCCGCCTACAATCGCACGGTCTGGTGCAACTTGTTTGGCCAAAACAGAGCTGTTTTGTTGCAAGTTGCGTCATCTCAAATCGGTCGGTTCTTCCCATCAGCACTGAGTGATGGCGACTGTCTGAGCTCGGTCCCCCCGTCTGCGCTGCTTCAGTGACCGGACAGACGTCAGCTGACCTGAGCCGGTCCCGTTTCAGACAACACCACGCACCACCGGCTGGCAGGCGTTCAAGTACTGCGTCAAACAGGAGATGCGCACCTCGACCTAGGTGGACCGGACTACCTGTGCTCGACCTGGGTCACTGCGGCTGCTGACCTGTGCTCGACCTAGGTCAGCCGCCGCGACTGCCGACCTCTGCTGGACTCGGGTTGACCGCTGACCTGTGCTCGACTCGGGTCGGCCGCTGACCTGTGCTCGACTCGGGTCGGCCGCTGACCTCTGCCCAGTGCCCGGCGGGTCGGCGCCCGGCCAGTCGGGTCGCTTCCCGTTCCGGCTCCGGCTCCGGTCACGCTCCCTGTGTCTCCCTGAGCTGTTCTGGTCAGTGTGAGTACTGTGTGGGCGGCCGCTCTCTGTGTCTCCCCTGAGCTGTTCTGGTCAGTGACAGTGATGTGTGTGGGACGGTCGACCGCTCCCTGTGTCTCCCTGAGCTGTTCTGGTCAGTGACAGTGATGTGTGCGGGACGGTTGACCGCTCTGTGTCTCCCTGAGCTGTTCTGGTCAGTGACAGTGATGTGTGTGGCTGCGGACTGGACCCCATGGCCCCGTACCGCCGGTCCGGCCGTCTCAGTCAGTCAGTCAGTCAGTCTGTCCGTCTCGGGGCCGCGTGTGGTGTGCTGATTAACCCGAGTGGGATCGACTCCGCGGCGCGGCAATCTGTGTTATCCTGTCCCGCCGCCGGCGGTCTGTGTCGCGGTAGTTACACCTCAGCTATATAGAGCGGCCCGCTACAGGGTCGCGGAGTATCGCCGGCCGTCAGACTAGCTGCTGGCACACAGTCCTCAATGTGCTCTGGTTGTGTTCAAACTCAGTGGTGCTCTAGGGATTCTGTTTGCTGGGAGGGGCGGATCAGTGTACCTGGTAGGGCCCCCACACCCGTGTGATCCTTGTGTTAGGAGCGTGTGTGCTTGTGGCGGGTTGGGGTTCCAGTTGAGAATGGCGACCTGAGGATGGTAGGGCCCCTTCGAGTGACGGCCCTCAGTTGGGCTACGAGGTGGAGTGGCTGTTCCACATCGGATGGCCGCCCGACCCGATGTGGAATTTAGTGCGTTGAAGCGTCCCCCGCTGGTTGAGTCAGTGTGTTTGAGGATTGTCACTCGCTGTTGGAGTCAGTGTGTTAAAGGAGCGTCCCCCGCTATTGGAGTCAATGTACATGGAGTGGAGGATTGTCACCCGGCGCTGGAGTCGCTTTGTTGGCTCGCCATTTGAGTCGTTGTGTGTGTGTGTGTGAGTCGCGGGTGCTTCTCTCGGAGACCGGCCGCTGTGTTTGTTGTTTGCCGGCGGGCGGTGACCGCTCGTTGGCGTGTGTTTGAAGAGCGCCGCTGTTGGAGCCGCGCGGTGCCGACTCGTCTGTGTGAGGTGCCGAGCCGTGGACTCGGCGGGCGGGCACACGCCCCCGGTCAGTCAGTGCAGACCGCCGCGCCCGGCCGCGCCAATGGCCATATTGTTACATTGTTCCCAGAGCGCGGTATTGGATCGTTGTTAGCACTAACCCACTGTCGTAAGATCAAGTGAAGCCAGTCTGCGCGCCGCGCTTGCCTCATCCATCTTATGAATCGCCGCCGAGATGTACCTTTTCTTGAGATGTTGCATGGTTTGTGATCGCAAAGCGGATGGTAAATACACACGGGAAATGTTTATTTTGTACTCTGTGGCCCGGGACGGCGTGTTCCGGCCAGACGCGACTCGGGGCCGGGCAGCGGTGCCGAGCCGCCGGACATTGCACGGACACGCCGGGCCAGCCGCGGGCCGGAGCGGGCAGCGGTACCGACCAGCGCGGGCCGGGCCGGGCGCCGCACCCAGCACTCACACACATCGACATCGCTGACAACACCGTATGAAACGCGCGCACGAAGCTCGCTTTATGGCACGACAGCCGCGCTACCCGCTCAGTGACTGGCCGATATGGGAGAGGACGGCCGACCTGGGAGTGACCGGGCACTCACTGACCGACCTGGGAGTGACCGGGCACTCACTGACCGACCTCGGAGTGACAGGGCCCTCACTGGCCGACCTGGGAGTGACCGGGCACTCACTGACCGACCTCGGAGTGACCGGGCACTCACTGACCGACCTCGGAGTGCCTGGACACTCGCTGGACAGTGGACACTGGCCTATCCGGGAGTGACCGGGCAGGCGGGCACTCATTCTTTGACATGAGGGCGACTGAACGCTGGACACGGGAGTTACTGGCCGTTCTGAACGAAACTGGCCATCTTGGGAGTGATTCACTGGCCATTCGTTGCACACTTCTGTACACATTTGGACACTCATTGGACATTCTTGGACACTCATTGGACACTCACTGGACGAGACTGGCTCTGCGCGGCTGACCGGCGAATGTCTGTCCAGTTTCAGTGGCGGTCACCGCGCAGAGCTGTCAGGTGACGCCGCAGTGTCACACTGAAATCACACACTCACGCTGCCTCTGTTCGCGCTACCCTAACACTCGCACGCGTTCTCCGTCCCACGGGGTGGGCATCGCGTCTCAATTCACCCACAAATATCCTGAGGAGATCACCTCTCCTTTATGGCCGAGTGAATGCCCCTTCGGACGTGCCGGCTGCCAGATCCAGCCCCCGGGCGCCGCTACCGTCCGCTGACCAGCCCGTGTGCCTGGCGCGCTATCACGGCGCCCATGTTGCGGAGTGTCCGTCCGACGGACCGGCGCCGGCGGCTGTGTGCCCTCCGGCAGATCGGGCCGCCGATGACGTGTCTCGACAGGCCAATTGGCCGCCGGGCCGCTGTAATGGTCACACGACCCCGGACGGCGCGGGCCGCACGCATCGGACCGACGGACCCACGGACTGACGGACCGACGGCCGGGCTTCAGACGCCCGTGTCCTGTCTGTGCAACGCGGGGCTCGGGGCGACCGTTTGCTGCACTTTGCTGCGCTCTGGGTAGCCGTGGTCTCACGAGGTCGACTGAGCTCTCAGGTAGCCGCGTCCTGTAGAGGTCCTGCGCTCTAGGTAGCTGTGTCCTGCACGAGATCGGGCTGGTCGTCGCCGCCGCCGGCTCGCCCGTCGGCTCCCAGCAGCGACGTGACGGTCATCTGCTGCGGGTCGGCGGCGGCGGCGGCGGCGCGCTCGGCGTCCGAGGCCAATTGGCGGCGCTGCACGGGTCCGCTGGCCGGCACCTCTGTGCTGAGGGTGCGCCGGCGCGGCGGCGCCCGGCTGCCGCTGCCGCGCCGCGCCTGGAACCGCCGCCATTGCAGCACCAGCTGCGAGCGCACCTGAAACCGACGGGGACGGTCACTGGCTGGAACAGCAGGATCACCAACTAAACCCAGGATCATTGATTCAGAAGCCGGGCGCGGGGTTGAAGTTAATCTGAACTGAGCAATGCATTTTTAATGCGCTGCCATTCAGTTTTCAGTCGCTACATTATTCTCTCTTGCATTGAATTTTTGCTCAGCGTATTTCAGCGCTTTTCATGCTGCATTACTTCATTCAACTTTTGTGCGGCCTTTTGAAAGAAAAATAAAAGAAGTAGCAGCTCGCGCATGTAAAAGGCAGCGGCAGTTTATTTCTCGAACGTGGAGGCACTAAATGGACGGCCGGCCGAGCACGCACGGTCGCGCAGTGGCCCGTGGCGGCTCGGAGTCGCGCCGGCCCACTCACCTCGGCGTTGGTGTAGAAGTAGATGCAGGCGACGACGGCTCCCTGCAGGCCGCTGATGAGGTAGCTGACCACGTAGTAGGCCTGCTCGGCGTCGCAGTCGACGTCGTCGGGAGGCGGCAGCGCCGTCACCAGGAACTGGAGGCCGAACAGCGGCACCAGCATGGCCGCCGCACGGAACGACCGCCTGACGGACCGACGGACGGGGACGGTCACTGGACAGTCACTATAGACGCGGAACGACCTCCTGCCGGACCGACGGACGGGGACGGTCACTGGACAGTCACCGGACGGGGACGGTCACTGGACAGTCACCGGACGGGGGACGGTCACTGGACAGTCACCGGACGGGGGACGGTCACTGGACGGGGGACGGTCACCGGACGAGGGACGGGGACGGTCACCGGACGGGGGACGGGGACGGTCATCGGACGGGGGACGGTCACCGGAAGGGGAGGGTCACCGGACAGGGGACGGTCACTGGACGGGGGACGGTCACTGGACGGGAGACGGTCACTGGACGGGGGGACGGTCACCGGATAGTCTCCGGACGGGGGACGGTCACTGGACGGGGGACGGGGTACGGTCACTGGACGGGGGACGGTCACCGGACGGGGGACGGTCACCGGAGTCACCGGACGGGGGACGGTCACTGGACGGGGGACGGGGTACGGTCACTGGACGGGGTACGGTCACCGGGCGGGGACGGTCACTGGGCAGTCACCAGACGGGGACGGTCACTGGACAGTCACCGGACGGGGGACGGGGGCGGTCACCGGACGGGGGGACGGGGACGGTCACCGGATAGTCACCGGACGGGGGACGGGGACGGTCAATGGACGGGGGACGGTTTCCGGGCGGGGACGGTCACCGGATAGTCACCGGACGGGGGACGGGGGCGGTCACTGTACGGGGTACGGTCACTGGACGGGGGGACGGTCACTGGACGAGGGACGGTCACTGGACGGGTGACGATCACCGGACGGGGGACGGGGACGGTCACTGGACGGGGGACGGTTTCCGGGCGGGGACGGTCACCGGATAGTCACCGGACGGGGGACGGGGACGGTCACCGAACGGGGCGCGATCGGGACGCGCGGTCAGGTGCAATGGAGCGGACACGGCCTCCGGGGGTGACTCGCGTCGGAGGGGGCGACCGGCCGACCTGACGGCGGCATCACCACGGGGGCCGCCGGCGCCGACACGATGGCCGCGCGAGACGCTCATAGCGGCACCAGCAGCGCGCCGCGGCGTGATTTGATGGCGATTGGTCGGCGTCGGCTCAAAATGGGATACACTCGATGGCATGATCAATATCCGATTTTTGAATATTGCAGGATTTGAGGAACCATCTGTTCATCGCGGTATTGGCGTTTTGCAGCATGTGATGGTGATGATATTGGGTGATTCAGCGCACTTCATTCAACGCCCACGATATCGCACAGACAAAGGATGTCAACGAGGAGTTACAATGGGGTGGAATCAAATTGTGCTGCACGAGTCCGGACTTTTATGCGTTTTGATAAAGCCAGAAATAACCGTTGGCAGTTCTGAAGCCGTGCGGGATGAGCAGAGCCGACTGGCGCCTCATCCATCCTTCAGCGCGGCTCGCACGGACGTCACAATCAAGGCACGCAATACAAATGAGCCCCGTCCGGGGCAGTTCATCAGGCGCCGTTAGCCGGGTCTGTCGGCAGCCGGCTGAGGCGGCGCCCGGTCCGCTGCCCGATCTGGTACGACTGAGGCCGGCTGAAGCGGCCCTCTTCCCGCTCTGGTCCGGGGGTAGGGGTAGCCGTCGGCGCCCAGCCCGCCCCGGTGTGCCGCCGTCCGTCCCCGCCTGACCCCGCGTGCACAACACGGCACCGCCGCCCCGGGGCAGCCCGTGTGATGCTCAGCGATGTAGGCCCCAGAATACGCTGTCATTCAGCCAGTAATCAGACACTGAGTGTAAATCACTCGCTCACGGGCGCTCGGCGCTCGGTGAGCTGTCAGCATAATCGATGGATCGCTATTCGTTTTCGAGTCCCTGGATTGAAACCAAATTGTTTGCGCCCAGCTCTAGTTTATGGCGTGATGCTCATAGGGTTGATGCATTCATTTATTGGACATATATTTTCTTCAGGCTCTTAGGCTTGCTTCTTGTCAAGTTAATAGATAACCATGTCAATTTAATGCTAACACATAGATGCTTTTCCGCGTCGGAATGCTGTTTTCGATTAGTGAACACAATGTGTTTGCTTAGACAAGTGAAAAATTGCATAGCAGGTGCTAGCAGAATGAAAACACATGCCAAACGGAACGGGTAACAACACAATGAACCACTATCAGTTAATAACGCGCGATCCTGTTCATTACACTATTCATACCCTGCAATAGAAATGAAATATCCTCGGTACGCCCTGACGAAATAAAGCAGTCGTTTTGCGTAAGTTACATTTGCTGACAGTTCCAAGGCGCTCTTCCTCTGATGGCTGTCGCCGGTCGGTCTGTCTGTCTGTCTGTCTGTCTGTCTGTCTGTCTGTCTGACTGTCTGCCTGCCGGGGACGGCTCACGCTGACCCCATGACGGAGGGTCGGCGGACGACTCTGGCTAAAGTTCCGGCGCCGGGTCTGCTCGGTGAGTCGCCCGCCCCAACTCCGAGTTCCCCCCCCCCCCCCCCCTACTAAAGTAGTCCTCCGTTCGGCCGGCCACTGTCGCGGGGACAAACACCGTAACCGGGTGGGCTCGGCAACCGGCGGCCGGCCGGTCGGGGGGAGCGCTGTGGGGATGGCGCGGCGGACGGCCGCGGCGGGTCGCTGCTCTCGTAAAGCCGGCCGCGTCTGTACCGCGGCCCGAGCTGCGTTTGACGGCCGCCGCCGCAGCTCAGACGTCAGATCGGACGGAAGGTCCGACTGTATAGCGCTGACGCCGCGATCCGGTATCGGCGGCCTCCATGGCAGCGCTGTGGTGGGCTCAGTGGCCGTAAATATCTGCGGCCATGACGTCCGGGAAAATAGAGCACAACATCCGGACAGCTAACACAGTCGTGGAACGAGGCACTGAGATGCGCGCCCAGCATTGGCTTTATGATATTAAATTACTCGGTTACAGCCTATGGAGCTATGGTATTTATTTGCTGTCATACGCAGACATACGTTTGCTCCGTTTCCTACTACATTTCTGTAGTAGGTATGCGGTGTGGTTGCCACGGTGTGTATTTTTGCGGTGTGGTTGCCACACATTGATGGAACAATATGGCGTTGAGTAACGTCCTTACATATGATATAAAATAGTAAAAATAGTAAAATAGTAAAATTTAGTTTTTTAAAGGTACTTTTATAAAAGCTAACCTTATTTTACAGTCGGCTGAGTCGACCGATTGAGGAAGGCGCCGAGGGACCACGTCAGGCTTGAGGCCGCTGCGCTATTCCCGCTATTGTCGGAGCGGGAACAGAGAACCTATTACGACACAGGCCTGGTAAAGCGTAGTATCCATTTGATGTAGGGTGTCCCAAGAGTAACGTAATCATTTGTTTTAGCCACATCTCCGAAAATATGTGATGGATGGAAATAAAAAAGATATATGTAAGGACATTCTATAAAATTGTGTTGTGTTAGAAATATGAGTCAATATATTGGTTCGTAGCCCCATATTTACTGCTTTCTGCATGGCTACAATTTCGGGTCGCGTGCATGAATATGCGGTTGACTTCCTCCGCCATTCTGGAGCCATTCTCTGGTGAGATGCCGCTTATGTTTGCTCGAACGGCTCATCCATTAGCTCTTCTTGGCTCTCTGGGTTATCCTCAAAGACAACCCCTCCGATGTGTACCCGGAGGACAAAATATGGAGGCGTTTAGTCAGGTGACCGCGGAGGCCGTACAATGGCGGTGCCCTCTGAAAATAACCGATCTCACATCCACTCTCGGAGACAATACACGGTCTTGGTGTCGGCACAGCTGTGCTGTGGCGAGCGGAAGAACCACTATGGAGGACCCTTTACCACCTCCCTTGGTTTATCGTCATCGAATTCCCGCTGTCGTCAGGACATCGAAGGACAGGTGACCAAGTATACATGCCCTGTGCGCACATTACACTTTTTCTGGCGTTTTGCCGGCTGCGACGAAACTATGAATGACTTCAGAGATAGGGCGGGCTGGCCGAAAACTGAGCGGTATTTACGTTTTTTCGAACGACAGACCCTCTCATAAATTTGAAATTCGACCTGTTCAGTTTTCTGCCTACTGCTTGGTGCAGTCATCATCAAAATGTTTCAAGTTTGCAAGAAAACAATTTTATGAATGTACCCTGCACGTGCTCAAATTTGTAGTCATTCGGATTCCTACTTATCAAGATATTTGAATTATAAATCATAACCTTACTTTTTGGTCTTTCTACACGTCAGCGTACCTTCTTCTAGGGCTGATGAATGGTTGACGACTGATGTAGATGGAATGCATTTAGGGTCGCATTTTTGCAGGGGCGCGGGAACTACTTTTGGACTGGGGGGGCACCATAATAGAGATCAGCATAGGGTACCCCAAATCTAGTTGTCTCACCGGTTTTAGGTCACTTACCTATTTTTCATCCCTCTTCTCTTGGCTTTTTCAACAAAAAAGAAAACATTTGCAAAAAGTGCAGTATTCCGTCTCAAAGTTGTGGGGCACTGCCCCCACGGCCCCAGAGTTGGGGGGCAGACTGCCCCCATTGCCCCCTCCCCCGGATTCCCGCGCCTATGCATTTCGTCTTACTACCATATATTATTTGCTACTGCCTATAGGCAATAAAAATACCGCCTTTCGGAAGGACTTCAGTTGTGTGACCAGGGCCTCAGTTATCGACAAAAATGATTTCGGTTGTTATATTAGAAATAACATTTTGTGTTGCGAGGTAAGGGAAGAGCTATTCGATGTGCAGCACGCAGACGGGTGTGGCGGGCGCGGCGGTTCCTGCTGTCTGAGCCGTGCGGCGCAGTCTGCCGTCAGGCGCCCGGCGCGACAGCCATCTAGCGGCGATAATGCAAAGCTCGGTGCCCGTGCCCGCCCGAAGGCCCACTCCCGGCACTCACCTTCTGGCCTCGGAAGATTCCAGCTTGGTGTTGAGTATGCGTAAAACGTTTATCATAAATCCTAGGTTTATCTGTGGAAGAAGACAGAGTTTCTTAAACGACCGTCTTTCTGCGTAACTAATGGACTGGAGTTAAACATTACAAAGACGGCTTGAGATCTGTGTTATAACAATAAATAGGCCAACGAAAATACTCAGCTTGGTATGCGATACTTATATCGTAAAACCTAAATTTACAGGTGCATTAATGCTGCACTGTGAACGTTCTGAGGGAGATCAGGTTAGGGTACCTACCTGGTAACATAATGGTATCAATATGTATTTAGTTATTTATACGTAGTTGCAGTACACAGTCGCCGAACTCAACGGTTTGATTTTTCTATTACTTCGTAATAATACCGGCACATTTTTACAACTCAGCTTGTTTTCAGCAAGTTTCATTCAAGATGTTTTCCAGAACTCAACACTGACCCGGCGCGCACGCACTAGCGAGCCACGCTACAGCGATCCCGGTGACTCACGAAGAAGCAGGCGAGTTTGGGCGCGTCCAGGATCCAGACCAGGTTGTGAACGTTGAGCATCCAGCAGAGTTCGTTCTCGAGCACGACTTTGGCCGCGGCCCAGCCGGCGACAAACAGCACTGGCACGCCTGCGGCGGAGAGTAGCCGGCCGAGTCAGACAGCGGACCGGTATGACACCGGTAGGACAGCGGACACAGCGGACCGGTACATCACTCCGGGGTCAGAGCACAGCGGACCGGTACATCACTCCGGGGTCAGAGCACAGCGGACCGGTACATCACTCCGGGGTCAGAGCACAGCGGACCGGTACATCACTCCGGGGTCAGGGCACAGCGGACCGGTACATCACTCCGGGGTCAGGGCACAGCTGACCGGCGTCCGGCACATCACTCCGGGGTCAGAACACAGCGGACCGGTACATCACTCCGGGGTCAGAGCACAGCGGACCGGTACATCACTCAGAGCACAGCGGACCGGTACAGCACTCCGGGGTCAGGGCACAGCGGACCGGTACATCACTCCGGGGTCAGGGGTCAGGGCACAGCGGACCGGTACAGCACTCCGTGGTCAGGGCACAGCGGACCGGTACATCACTCCGGTCAGAACACAGGGCCGACCGGTACAGCACTCCGGGGTCAGAGCACAGCGGACCGATACATCACTCCGGGGTCAGAACACAGGGTCGACCGGTGCATCATTCCGGGTCAGAACACAATGGCCCACTTGATCCGGGGGCAGAACACCGCGACAGACGGGTCTCATAGTTCTGTGGTCCTTAAGATCACAACGGCAGACAGGTCTAAATGGTCCGAGACCCGAACATGCGGCAGCCCCGAGTCTGTTTGGTCCGGAACCTAGGGTCACTCACAGCACAGCAGCAGATCCTGCGTCTGCGACTATAATGGACCAGAGCAAATCAAATCTAGCCCGCCTTAGGTTCCATTTGCAGTTTTTCTTTCCGTGCTAACGCGCAGCAGAGCATTATTGATCAAACGAGGGACAAAGACCCGATTTCGGCTCAGCTTTTTGGAGGGAAATCTGTCTGTGAGGGAAGACAAAACACATCGTGACTGACCACACATATCGCCTGTTTACGATGGGAATGGAGCCACCATGATTAGCTGCAGCAACAATATTGTCAGGTGTAGCAGTTCTCTGGCCCATTCAACAGACGCGTCGGCAGCGAAAACATTCTCTCGAAGGGCACGATAGCTGGTGGGAGACGTTGGGCCTTGCCCGCCCTTCGGAGCGCCTTCTTTACCGCTGCATAATAATGGGGGAGTCATTAGCGGTCGCCGGGTCGGCTGGGGGTGTGAGCGGCGAGCGCGGCCGGCGCGGCGGCGGGAGGCTGCCCATCTGCATACGGTGTTCCGGCGGTATCGGATGGGCACCTCTCCAGCCGTGTATTTACCGGCGACTCTGCCACAGCGGACCAGTCGGCGGCCCGCCGTCGGTCCCCAGATCGACTGAGCTCGCAATCTGGGGTACTAGGCACGCCCGCCAGTGTTCACAGCGCTACGGGTCTGTGAACTGGATAATGGGTTTGGATGGAGCACTGCTTTGAAGCTGCCTAGACCTCTGATAAGTTCGGAGTTTGGACCATGCTGCACCTCGCTATAAATGCCATAGCTTTATACAGTGAAACGCAGCGGAGGAGCGGACATTGACGCTGTATTCATCTAATTGATCAACCAATTTAGATGAGATTTAGTCCTGATGATCTGACATTGCTAAAATTGAAAGGTCTTTTACAATTTCATGCTTGGGCGAGCCATTCAAGAGCATTATTCCTCGATCTGATGTCTAGCGTTCGTATCAACGAAAGTACACAGACGTGAATCCAGTGAAACCACCAAACATTAAAGGGAGTTTGGATTGGCTTGACAGCTGTTTTTTTCCTCTTAATGTAGATGGCATAAAAATGTCCCATTGGGACGAACATGTCAGCATCTTCGTTGCCATTAGCATTTCACCGATCCTGAAAGTTATGCTATCCTGACCTAAGTTATCCATGGACCCTTCATCTTTTTATATACAGATTTAGCTCACGAATTCGATTGTATAGGTTGACAGACCTGGAACCCACGCTAAGCTGAGTGTATTGCGCAGGCTCCGACCCCTACCGTCTGGTCGGAAAATTCCAGGTATCGGGAGGATTAGGATGCCGAAGCTTAAAGGGACCCTCCCACCTTAAAAAAAAGTCAATGAATTGGCATACTCGTAAAAGTGATGTCCCATGGTTCAGAAAGATAAAAAATGAATGTCTACCAAATTTCACCAGAAAATATTCACTGGTTTTCAAAATATATTATACAGGATATATTTTCAAATTTCTTAGACTTTTACTTTTGTTTACTTTTTGGGACCTCTGCTGTCCCTACGATGTCGTTTGGAAGCAATAATTTGAGTTTTGACATCCTAAAAGTGCGGAACATGTTGTGCGCAAAGCACTATATACCACCACGTTTTACCTATGGTTTTAGTATAAGATTCAAAAATTGTTAGGTCTCCGGCCTCCGCTGACGCCACAAATGCTAAGGGGGCATTCAAATGCATTAGTCCCTTAGAATCTGAAAACTGCAAGTTAGAAATTAAATATCTCCGAATTAAAGCAGTTCTCGATGTTGTGAGTGCCTAAACCGGTAACTGCAAGCCAGGGACCCCAATTTGGCTATATCAACTCGAAACTAATTTTAACCCTCGCCGGCACAGGCCATTTTGCGTCCTTTGACGGCACAAGGGGGGGGGGGGGGGTACGACTCCCCCGCGTTTAGCCCCTGATCTAGTTAGAGCTTCGCGGAAAAAAACGAGCGTGTTGCCCGTCACGAGAAGAAGCCGATGATATCCAATTGTAAGGTCCTAGGTCATTAGTTGACCTTCCAGGTCAGGTCAATGACCCTAAAGTCGGAAAAATCGTGACCTGTTAGAAAGTCGTAAATTGTGACTGCTGTGGGGTTTTCGGGGTGCTGCTCACGAATGTCGTGCTAGTTTTGATCACAGAGGATGTCTTTAAGCAGTTAAACCAGGTCGGGTCAGGTCAGGTCAGGTCAACCAGTAGGGGTCGTGACGGGTATTCGTAGTACGTGTCAACTGCCTCCGACAACTTCGTAACATGCGAAGACACCAAAACTTGTACTTCTTAAATGTTCAAATGGTTGCTAAATTCGAATTCAGCTAAAAAAAAAAAAAACTAGCCTAGAAACATGTAAAACTCGAAAAAGTGAACCGAGGTCACCAAAGGTCAGTGACCTGACCTGACCTTCAGGTGACCTTGACCTCCACCCTTATGCATGGGAGCAACATCAAATCACATTTTTTAACGTTTGAAACCATGATAAGCTTGCCAACGCGCGGCTAATGCGAGCCGACATCCGCCGAATCGCAGTCCGGCCAAACATGGTCTCGGAAACAAGATCACAGACAAAGGTCATTTGGGTCAGTGTCATGAAATTTTCAGGGTAGGTGTAAAATTGATCAATGCGAATTGATAAAATTGATAAAATTGATCACTGAACGTTTCGTCGCGATCAGCCGCCTTTTACGCGAGTTATTTTTTTACGCGAGTTATTTGCGAAAACCTTACGGGGGGTTCCATCACCCCCCCCCCCCCCTGTGCCGGCGAGGGTTAACCCGCGCCCCGTTGGGCTCTGCCGAGCAACGCGCCCCCTTGGGGGGCATTTTGGCCTCCACCAAGATCTCGAGAACCACGCAACCTAGCGACAAGCGGCAAACGGTGTTGGATAGCCCTATCAGGGAACTACCTTTTAACCCAATTTTATTGACCTAGGTCAAACCGATGACGTCACAGGTCAGGTCAAAGGTCGAATTTTCACCGTTTACAGGCATTTCAAGAAATGCGTTGTAAAATCGAGTAAAATGCATTTCATTGAAAATCATCGATGGGGAAATGTTCTTCAAACACATATTTTGCTATTTGAGGTCACTGATACCAGGTCAGGTCACAGGGGTCAGGTCACTAGGGGGGGTCACAATATGAAAGTGTCGTGTGATACATGTTTTATAGTCCATTTTACATGACAAATGCGATTATATGGGTCAGGCAGACTTTTGGGCCAGCTTAGGCCACGTTTTGGTCAAGGTCAGGTCAAGGTCAGGTCAAGGTCAGGTCAAGGTCAGGTCAAGGTTCAGGTCAAGGTCAGGTCAAATTAGGCCAAATTTCAAAGTTGATATTTTTGCATAAAATGGGTATCGATTCGATGCAGCTCGTCACGGGGAGTTTAATGGTGGTCTTTGTTTTGCCCTACGTGGTCTAGAATCGCTAAAAATTGAGCTCAAAAATTTGACGTCATCATTTTTGAACAGTTTTTTCGCTATAACTTGGCCAAAAAACGAGATATCGATATGAAATTTGGTATGTATATAGAAGAGCACAGGGTCTATCATACATATTCCGTTTTTTTCGAAATTCGGAAATTTTTTTGGATTTTTTTTTCTAAAAAAAATCAATTTTTTAAATTTTTGGGGGTCAAAAACCCAACATTTTGAAAATCCGAGATAGCAGTTTTGTAGCGCCGCTTTTTGTCTACTAGACCATATAAAGAACTTTGAAATTGCTTGGTAACTGTAAATTTAGTGAGCGTTTCAAGATTGCATGTTTTTTGCTCATTTTTGCTCGAACATGACCTCAGTTTGACCTCAATAACTCCTGACCTAAGATGACCTAAGACTTGAAATTTGGTGTGAAGGTGTCAAATTGATGCCCGGGAGGGTACTGAAAATTTGGCGGCGCGCAGCGCCGCCGTTTTCTTGCTATTCAGGAAAAACCACAGGGGGGGGGCAAAATGCCCCCCCCCCCAACGGGGCGAGGGTTAAGGTGGGATAGTCATTTTAACGTCCCCATCAAAGCCGGTCGCGGTCCGTCTCAGTCAGCCGACTCCAGTCCTGCTCCTACCAACGGCAGGTCATCCCCGTCGGGAGGTTCATTACCACCACTGCAACCTCCACCACCTAAACAATACCGGTCCTGAGCCTGAGGCTAAAGGAACCTGAGCTGAACCGGCCTACCGCACATGCACAAATACATCATTTTCGAATGAGACAATTACTTTAAAAAAGCCTCCTTTCCAGAGCGTTAGACTCATCTGTTTTTTTTTTTTTGTACACTTCG